AAAAAAAAATCACAAAAAAAACTCGACGATTCTTTCAGCTTTATTAACATTTTCCATTGTTTCTTGCGATTTGTGTCTCGTTCTTTGTAGTATTGATGATAACGAACATTTGATAATGAATGTTCTTGTATATTCAGATAAAGGAGAAAAAAAAACCAAAAACGCAGTCGGAATTTAATAGTGTTTATAATAAAAGAATAAAAAATGACCCTCTTAGCACGCAAAATTGAACAGGGGGAAGGTCCCATCCCTGTTCTTTCTGTGGCAACAAGCGCTTCATTCCTGTATAGTTTATAACATCAAACTACCTACATTCATCCTCCTTTTTTTTGTTTGTTTGTTTTTTCCCATGGTTTGGTTTTTTTTCCATTTTCTCGCATTTGTGAATTAGTTCAAGAATGCTAGAAAAGTGTAGAGTTGTGCACACTCATTTCTTCTTACACAATGTTTAAAAAGTGACGGTAATTCATTTTGTAAAACTTTAAAAAGAAAAAAAATGGTTGGAATAGTGAGCATTAATAGGTACAGTCTAACACTTTATGTTTCTTAACGTTGAGACCCAGAAATGAACCTTTTTGTTGGGTTTTTTTTTTTTTTTGCCTTGTTTGGGATGGGGGGGAGGGGGCTTTGATGATGATGATGATGATGATGATGATGATGATGATGATGCTGAGTTTATTTTGACCTGTCCAAGACGATGGCCTTGCCACCTCCCGTGCTCTTTTGAGCTGTGACCAGAGTGATGTGAAAAGTGACAGTGGTGTTTTTGGGGGAGGCGTTTCTCCCCACTCCTTTCAGATCCCAGCTCCAGGAGATCCTCGTGTGGCTGCCCTGGGGCTGAGCAGTGGGATCACATCTCTGGAAAGAGATGGAATTATGGAATTCCAAGGGGTTTTGGGGAGGAGGTGGGGGGGAATTAAACCCTGAGCCCCCCTGTGGGTCTCCATTCTGGGGGTGTTGCTGAGCTGCCTGGAAATGTTGAAAGGGCAGGAATCCTTCCCAAAACATGTGCATGGTTGGTTCTCTTCCCTGAATCCCCGTGTCCCCAAAACTGAGGGATTCAGGATGAGGAATGTTCCAACCTCATTTCGCCCACGGACCTTGCTGGGGATGAGGTCTCAGTGCCAAGGGGTGGCATGTGGCCAGAATGTCCCCAAATCCAGCCCCACATCCCCGTGGCTGCACAGTGGGGTTCAGGGAGAAGCGCTGAGGAAGGTGCTGGTTGGCATCACTTCAGTTTTCTCCTCCAATGTTTTCCTGCTCCTCCCAAAAAAGCCCTGAGCTTCTCACATCACTGACCGGTTTAGGGTTTGGGGTGTTCCTTTTAATCCCAAGGTTTCCTGGAGTCCTTTTGTTTTCGTACACCTTTATTATTATTATTATTTTATTATTATTAAGAGGATGTAAATCAGACATTGCCTGGGGGGTTGGTTTTGTTGGTTTGCTTTTTTTGTTCTTGCAAAGCCCTTTCTATCCCTTGTAAAGGTGATCCAGTTCGGAGTTGCTTTTTCTTTTCTATTTTTTTTTCTCCCCATCTTTTTATTTTATCTCTTCTTAATGGATTCCAAATATTAAAAAAAAAAAAAAAAAAAAAAAAAAAAAAAAAAACCCTTTAAAAAAAAAAAAAAAAAAAAAAAAAAAAGACTCTCTGTTCCAACCTGGTTTTGAAACTTTTCTGCTTCTGTAAAGAAAAAAAAAAAGGCCTCTGTCTTTCTGATCCCAATTGAAACTTTTATGTTCTATGACGATACTAACAAGGTGTAGGTTTTACAGTTTCCTGATTTGTACTGGTAATGCATATTCCAAATAAATAGTTTCTTTTGTTGCAAAAAAAAAAAAAAAATCAAAAAAAACCAAAACCCTGAAACCAAACCTGGTGTATTTTTTGGGGAGGAAAAAGAAGAAAACGAGATACCCTGGGGGTTTCCCCAGGAGGTGCAGGAAGGGTTTGGGGTGCAGAGGTGGGAGTGAACAAAGGCAATAAATACCCTGGTGCTGGGATGGTGTGAGCCAGAGGGATGTGATTTGGGATTCTGCCTCAGTTTCCCTGGGCATACAGAGGCAAGTGCTCCTGAACATGTGGCCAATGCCAAAAAATCAATCGTACATTACAGTTCCATTTAAGACAAAAAAAAAAAAAAAAAAAAAAAAAAAGGAAAAAAAAAAAAAAAAAAAAAAAAAAAAAAAAAAAGGCAAAACAAAACAGAACAAAAAACCAAACACCAAAAACCCCACCAAAAAGCACATCCAAACAAAACTGAAACCAAACAAAAAATACAAAAAAAACCCAAAAAAAACCCCAAAAAAAAACCAAAACAAAAATCACCAAAACACACACACAAAAAAATCCCTTTATTGCTTTTTGTACTTTTTAAGTGCACTGCTTTCCTGCTTTCCAAATAAATCTAGAAATGGGATTTTCTTTATCACACCAAGGTGTGGGGCAGGACTGGGGAGCAGGGGAAGGCTTGATAGCCTCTCCTGTTTTCCTGGGGTGGGGGTTATTTTAAAAAAGGGTAAAAAATTGAAACCGTTTCTGGGAAGAAAAAGAAGTAATTCTCAATTTAAAAATAATCTGTAATTTTAAAAAGAGCCCGTGCATTGGACGAAAAGCAGGACGGCTCTGCCTTGTCCAGAGAGATTTTGGATGGACTGGGGGGTGG